AACAGGAGAAGCTTTTCTTTCCATGCGAAATGCTTGCTGTTACATGCAGATTGGCTCCCTTATGTGTGTACCAGGGAGGGGAAAGATTTTTTTCACTGCAGGGCTGTCTTTCCTCTGGGGCAATCTCCTAGGGGCCATGTGCCTAGTGGTGGGTGCCTGGGCAGGCAGAGAGGGAACAAAATTGGGGAAAGGCTACCCCGGTTTCTCTCCCTTTGGTCTTTCATCCTTTCTGCCACTGCTTTTCCGTTTCATTTTTCCGCCCTCCCTTTCCCCCCGTGCCACCTGTTTTCTCTCCCTCCCTTGTGTTGCTGCGTGCCATCAAGTTGTCTCTGATGTAGAGCAGTCCGAATGAATGAGCGTCCTCCAAAATTTGCCCTGTGCGTGACAGCCCTGCTCAGCCCTTGTAAATTCAAGAGCACCATAAATTCCTTGATGGCGCCCGTCTGTACCGTATCTGGTCTTCCACTGTTGAATTTCCCTGGCATGATGGTCTTCTCCAGGCAGTCTTGCCTTCCCATGACATGTTCAAAGCACGACAGCCTCGGTTCTGTCACTTTTGCTTCTGGGTAACACTCTGGTTTGGACTGCCTCCCTGCCACCCCCTTTCCCCTGTCTCCTTGTCTCTCTTCTTTTTCTGCATCCCCTTTTCCTCTCTCTCTCCCTGTCTAGCAGGATGTTCAGAGAAGGAAATTCTGCTTTCCCCATCCCTCAGTTTCTCTTCCCTTTTCTCATCTACCTGAGAGTAGGGTAAGGGAGTGGCAGCTGTCACAATTTCCTGAAGAATCTGTGAACAAAACACTCCAGGCAATTTTAAGGTAACTCTAACCCAGTTGTATCATTCAAACTGCACACGCAGGAAATGAGTTGGAGCAAGAAAATTCTTTAGCATCCTGGAAGCCAAAAACAGCCCTGTGAGGCAGAGCTTCACAACTGGCAAACTGGCTGATTAGCTAGATTGCGTTGGTGCAATGAAGGGAAGAACAGGAAATACATTATAGGAATAAAATTTGCAGGCACACGAGGGAGTCCAACATGCCTTACGTAATTACTGTGTGATAGAAATGTTATTTCACTTTGTATCATCTCTCATAAACCTGGGCTAAAACTTGCTTGTAGGAGACATGCCAGGAAATTATGAATAAAATTGTGCAGATCCCAAAGAGCATTGAAATGGCAGAATTGACAGTTGCCTTCCATCGCCTCTTGTTCTTGCTATGTGCCGGCCGAGTCACCTCTGACAAGGCGATGCTCTGAGTTAATGTCCTCCAAGACATCTTGTTCCGGACAATTTCCGTTGGGTGGCCCCTACGCTGTGACATTCCCTGTCCCGGGAACTTCAGGTAGTCTTTTCCGTAAGGATGCACAGGTCAGAAATAGGAAGACAAAGCCCTTCTGTCTAGACACAAACTGTGTTCGGGCTGCTCTCCGATCCTGTCTGATGTGACTCGGGCTGCTTCTCTGTTGGTTCCACAAGCGGTTTTGCTACCTGGTGGTTTTACTGTTTTTGATGGGTAAAAGAATCCGCTCCATGGATTCCCCCTGAGAATGAACTATTCACATAAATGGAAGACAAAGCTTAGTCAACATAGATCGATTAAAGTTTGCAGCATGTGATACGATGCATAAAATTCGCCGCTTTCCTGGTCCTATAGATGCAAACGCACACATAGAAAAGCTTGCAAGAACCTAATAGCTCTTCTGGATCTGAACTCAAGCTCAGCTAGTCCAGGTTTTGTGCAGAGCAGCCAAGCAGGACTTGATGGCCACCAACAGTTCCTTCCTTCTTCAACCCTTCTATGAGGTGGGACTTCCTTCTTTGGTTTCTTTGTCCTATCGCTGGACACCACCACTCTCTCACCCATGTTCCTCACTCATGGATGCACACGGATGAATTGCTGCTGGTCCTGGAGGTAGCCAAGAGGACTAATAGCCATGGGTAGCCACCTCTTCCTAGGAATCTGCAAGCCATCCAGATCGGGGGCCATCACTAAATTCTGTGGAAGTGAATTCCATAATTTCACCATGTGCTGTGTGAAGAACCCGGATCTGTCCTGAATGTCACTGGCTTTCTGGGATGAGCCCAGATTCTAGTTCTATGGGAAATGTCCCCCTACCCACTTTCTGCACACCAGGCATAATTCCATGCATCTCTGTCTTGTCTGCCTTCACCCACCTAGAAGAGCATCGCGCTTGGGACAGGGGAGGGCAGAAGATGATGGCCAGATCTGAAATGGACGGACTCCATACAAGGAGCCCCAGCCTTGTGTTTACAAGAGCTGAGCAGGGCTGTCAAGAACAAGACATTTCTGGGGATGTGCGTTCGAAGGGTTGCTGTAACTTGGAGACAACTTGGTGGAACATCAGAACCACCATCAATCTTAGGGAAGTTGGTCCCCAATCATCACATATATGAACATAAACCTTCATCATACATACCCCTGGATGTATGTGTTACCCAAAGGAGATAAGAGAATACTTTGCACATGCTAATTGGCACTCTTGTTGTTAACACATTTGAAGGCTGAGGTCTACTTCCAGTGAAACCCTTTAACTGGGTGAAATACCAGTGAGGGGAATGGGTGAGGTTGGTTCCCAGAGAGAGCCCGTGTGGTGTAGTGGTTCAGAGCACAGGACTGGGACTCAGAGGATCTGGGTTCGAGTCCCTGCTCAGCCATGGAGCCACCTGGGTGACTTTGGGCCAGTCACAGCTTCTCAGCCCAACCTACCTCACAGGGTCATTGTTGTGGGGATAAGATGGAGGAGGAGAATGATGTAAGCTGCCTTGAGCCCTTTGCAGGAAAAAGGCAGGATATAAATTGCAATATAAATAAATAAATAAAAACTCTACAGCTCAATCTTTTTTTATTAATATATTTTATTAAATTATTTTTCCTGCAAGACTTCTTTAATGTTTTTTTTTCAATCCCAAAGACACGAAATAAGAAATATCCAGTCAAAAAGGCAAACCAGGAAGAGGAAGAAGAAGGGGATAAGGCGGGAAGGGAATTCTTCGGAACAAGGCCGGAGCAAAGCACTGGGGGGTCGGGGGGGGGGCAGGCAGTAGAAAACTGTAGGGAAGGGTTAATTTTTTTTCCTGTTTTTGTCGGCTATACAGACATTCTCGGTATACATAGCACACAGCAAAGGATCAGTCACTTCCTCATGCAGAATCCAGGGAGGGGGCTGAGTGGGAGATTCCTTGGGGAGGATGCCCCATCCTATACCAGAGGGCCTCCCCCATCCCTCCTCTTTCTCTCCATTCTCCTCTCTGGTTCGCAGTCACTCACAAAATGAACAAATATAGCAGGGGCCACGAAGCCCCCTCCCTTTAAAGCCCTCTTTTTTACTTCTTTTGCCCTTAAAATGCCTCTCCTTTGCCATCTGGAAGGCAGGACTTCCCGTATTGCTCGGAGCACCCTGAAAAAGGGTGGGATTTCCCGTTGGGGCCCTCCCTGGCAAGGTCTTTCCTATTGCACGTTTCCTTTCCAAAGGCACAAACCTTGTTTTTCCCCCATAGGGGTCAACTCTTTTACCCTCTAAAAGGCAGATTATCTCCTTTTCCTCTGTCAGGTCCTTCCTTCTTCAAACCTTCTGCGAAGCGGGACTTCCTTCTTTGGTCCCTTTGTCCTAAGGCTGGAGTTTCCACTTTGCACCATCCGGGTGCTTCATCCGCTCCTCGGGCATCCTTCCTCCAAGCTGGTGGAGAAGGAACACCAAGGAAAGATGCTCTCTCCAGCATATGCAGAGAAAGGCATCCTACCTTTTCCAGGGTGCAGTTTTGCCGCTGGAAGAGGCATTTCCTCCTTTGGTCCAGCCATTCCCACTTTTCCACCACTTGGACTTCCTGGTTCTGGGAATCACACGGTCCCCTTTACAAAGTCCCCTTCTTCCAAGCACCAGGAATCTCCCTTTCACCCTCTCGTAAATTTATGCTATTTTTTATTATTCAAATGCTGCGAGAAAACTGTTTATAAAAGCGTAAATAAAAAGTTAACTTTTTTTGTTTCTTCTTTTGTTTGTTTTTGTTTGAAAAGAAGGTTCCGGTTTCCCTCAGGGAAAGAAGGTGGAAAATAGAAAGAGAGAAAGAGAAAGAAAGAGAGAGAGAGAGAGAGAGAGAGAGAGAGAGAGAGAGAGAGAGAGGGAGAGGAGTGAAAATATGAATATGGAAAAGGGAGAGCAAGAGGACTCCCCTCAAATACTCCCGAAATTTCACAAACTCCACCTAGCTCCCTTGTCTCTCCTCCTGTCTACTATTACAAAGAGGACAGGAGAATTTCCACGAGCTTGTACCCTTTCTTATAGGGCAATTCTATGAAAGTAGGGTTTTTTTCTGTCAAAACTTGCATAGGATCATACCCCTCAGGGAATTTGATCAGCCCCTTCTCTCTGTGAGAGAATTTCAGGGGAGAATCTCAGGAGTGTATCTTGATGAGACAGAGAATTAATGTTCATATGTACTGGAAGGATTCGAGAGGAGGGCTTGTTAAACAGCCCCCTCCACCCGAAAACACCCCTACAAGCCCTCCTAAGGCTGGAGGGGAGAGGATTTTGAACGGACCCCTTAAGGACAAGGGGTGAGTCAGCTTCAGTGGCTCCCCAACTAAATTTCACAACAGCTTATCGCTCTAGTTCAGCCCAGTCATCTCCCACAATTGAAAGGTCGAGACACCAAATGCCACATTGCTTTGGAGGGTGGCTTATGAAGATGGATGCAGCCAGATGAACAGAGCGGGGGAAGTGAGGTGAAGATGGGTGGTGATCGTAGTTTCGGAGAGACAGCAAGAAAAAACAGAGAAATCTCCGATAGAAAGAGAGCCCTTCGTATGTAAACAATCTAGAAAGGTTAAAGGAGGCTGCCAGGGGGTGAGGCGGGTAAACAGGTGAAAAAAGAGAAGAGGGGACAGGTAGAAAGGCAGAAGATGGAGAAGAGTCTGTTACCAAACCATTGTTGTGGGGGGAGTGAGGAGAAATGGGGTCAAAGCAGCCCCCTGCTCCCCCCCTCAAGTGAGGAGGAGCGAGAACAGGTACACCAGACTCACGTCGACCAACAGGACTGCAGCGACGACCAACAGGTGGGCTCCCTGCAAGAGAGAAGGGGCATGTCAGGCGGAGAGATTGGCCCTGGCTGGATGCACCTCTGAGCATCACCGAGGCACCAGGTACAGTGCCTCGGCCTGATGCGTCCTGCAGCATCTTCTGAAGACCCCGCCGGGGCTCCTTCCTTGCGCAGTGAGCCTGGGCTGGGGAGTGAAATTGCCGTTGCCCCCAGCCCAGTGCCCCCTGGGGATAGAAGGCAGTAGCCTCCTCTTTCCCATCCCCAAAGCTCTTCCTCACAGACGCAGGCAACCTCTGGGGACCATGGCCCCCTAGGCAAACTGGGGACGCTCTCCTGGGCACATCCACAAAATGGCATCCCGAAGCGGCGTGGTAAAGGCAGGTGTCCTGACGAGCGGGCCAAGGTGGGGTCTGGCTCCCAAGCCAGGAAACGGCTCCTTCGGACCCCCCATTCCCAGCACCAACAGAAATCCGTTCCACAGGAATTCCATCTGCTGGGAAGACCATCCTGAGTTCCTTCAAAAAGAGCCAAGGAGCAGGAGGGAGGGCTGCAAGGTGGCATTCCGTAGCCCTGATTTACACCATCAATGAACAGTAAAAGAATTACTCATGAGTAAGCATCCTGGCCTGCCTGCAGAGCCATCATTAAACGGAGGGAGTGGGCATCCATTAAATTATAGGGTCCTGATGGTGTGCTTTGACTGAGGGAAATTCCCTCAAATCGAATCCCTTTGCACAAAAGCAGCACAGAAGAGCGGTGCCGCCTTGGCTCCGAGCAACAACTCCGACGGGATCGCATCCAAACAGGCCCTTTGCGGGCATCCTCGACCGGCTCTGCTCTCATCCCTCTGCCTCCTGCTCAGCAAGGGCCAGCAAGGGCCCAGGGGACGTGGCGCCCGGACCGCCACCCCGCCGTTCCAACCGGGGCCGCTGGAGTATTTACGACGTGCGGCTGTGCCTGCTGGCACCTCCCGGCGCCCCCCACTGCGGCGCTCTCGGTGGGCGGGGCAGCGATGCTGCAGTGGGGAAGGAGGGACCAGAGATGCTGTTGCCACGGCTGCTGAGTGAGGGATACTGGTTGCTATGAGACAGAGGGAAGAATGCCAGCCAATCCGCTTCGCAGGCCGGCTGCGAAGCTCCCCCTACGGCCCTTCCCACCTTTCCTTCCCAGCCTCACTTCTAGGGCCAGAGAAAGTGTGCGTGCGTGTAAACCAGAACAAAACATGCCGTTCAGAGCAGAGCGAAAGGGGAGGGCCGGGGCTGGGTGTTTGAGGCTTCCTTCTTTAGAGCAGCTGGGCCAGAAGACGGCGGCGGTGCTATTTCAAGAAGAGAACTGAGATTTTTCAGGGCAAAAGTGATGCGGGCGACGCTCTGGTCCTGCACCAGAAAGCAACCAGGATTCAACCCAGCCCTTCCCAAGCTGGGACTCCCCAGATGTGCCGGCACCCCTCATGGTCATGTTGGTTGGGGAAGATGGGAGGTGCAATCCAACACACCTGCACAGCACCCAGTTGGGGAGACTTGATTAATGGGGCAGCAAAGGTCCCCCTTGAGGCAGGGCTCTCTGTTCTAGTTCGGGAAGAGGCAGGGAGACCCTACTGGATTACACTGGGATGTTCAGAAGGATTTGGGGTTTCCTCTGTCCCCCTCCATGTAAAGAGGAGCTTGGCCCAAAACTGAAGGCGAGCTTGTGGACAGAAGGGATGCGTTCGTCTCGTAAGATCTGGCTGGAGGATGCAACCTTGGCGGCTCTCTCCGTGCTTTTGGCACGGAGGGGGCCGGTCTCTCCAGCTCGGCCTGGCTCCCCGAGTCCAGCCTCAAGAACGCTGAAGTGCGGCAGCGTGTTCCGGTGCCCCGGATTCCTTCGGGGGTTCGCTGTTATTCCACTCGGATGCGCTTGCTGCAGCAGCATTTGAGAATCCAAGATCTCGTGGGTGTAGAGCCGAAGTGAGACGGAAGCAGCAGATGGAAGTCAGAAGATGGGCAGGTGGACATCCACCCCTGGGGAGGCGGGGGAAGCTATGTAGGGGCGAGGAAAGCTTTCTCTCTGTTCTCTTCTGCTGCAGCAATAGCCCTGCCCCCTTCCACAGACAGAAGCCCTGTGCCTTTACGAGCTGTGTGCCAGACAGAAATCCAACTGGGTCGGTTTTGTCCAGTGTACAATTGCTGGGAACGGCTTCATCGGGTGAAGTCTACCTGCTGTCCCCACTGCTTCTGTCCATAACTAGGAAAGGTTGAAAACCTTTCGAAAAAGTGTACAGGCAGTTTGTGTTTACAGTATGACAGTACCGAAACGCTCTCTTTCCCCAGTGCCCAAACATTCCCCCCTCCGGGGGATCACCACTACACCGCACTCCCTTGAGACAGAACGAGGCAGTCCCAATACTCACCCGCTGCTTCTGCAGCACAGACGATCCCGTTCAAAACTCTTCCCTGCTGGATGTGTCAGGGGTGAGAATTTCTTCTTGGGGTGTGCAAAGGCCCGTCTTCTGACCATTTGCACCCCCCAAGTGCCTTTCATTAGGACGTTGGGCTTGGTGGCTTTGAACGGGATGAATCCACAAGACAAGATCTGCACAGCCTGGTGGAGGGGGAGGCAACCCAGAAACCCCAAGGTGCTTGGGACCCTGATCCTGCCCCTTGGGCACATTGGATGAGGCTTCTGGGAGTTGCGGTGCAGGACGTCTGACTGCCAGACCCTCTCCCAGCAGGTCCCGGGGGGAACGGGTGTGCCAGCACCCCCCCTTGCATCCGCTCTGCGCCCTTACCTGCCTCTCCCTTCTCCACACTGCTCCGAGGACCTCCTCTCGCTCCACCACGAAGGCCCCTGGACCCCCAGTCCCTTCCTCGTTCTCCGATTCCGGGCCCACGGAAGCTCTCTCCAGTTCTGCTTCCGCCGGGATCTCCCCAGGATAAGGCCTGGAAACTGCCCCCTCCTCCTCTTCCTCCTCCTCTTCTTCCTCCTCCCGCAGGCTGCCGGAGCTGCCGCTGGCTGGGCTGCCCAGCTGGGGGCGCCGAGGGCCCCCCGCGAACGCCTCTTCCTCCGCTTCGTAGCTGCTCATCTGCCCCTGCTCCTCCTCTTGGTCCCACAGCCCCTCGGGAGCAAACCCCGGAGTCTGAGACGGGAAGCTGCCCCGGCACCCCCACTCATCCTCGGGGTCGGAGGCCTCCGGGAGGAGCTGGCGAGGACCCCCGTTCTCCAAGGGGGGCCAAGTCCGCCGAGGGTCCCCCCTCCAGGACTGCAGAGGCGTCGGAGGGTAGCTCGTGGGCAGACTCGGGTCTGGAGAAGCATCGGAGGGGGTGATGCCGTTCTCGTAGACCTGGGGGCTGTCGTACTCCTGGAAATTGGTGTCAGTGCCTTCCGAATCCAGCCGGCCACGTGGTTCTGGGGAAAGAGATGTCCAGTGGTTAGAGCAGAAGGCGCAAGCCCTTGGTTCAAGAGAGAGGATAACGACCCCGGAGGGGCAGGTGAGGGCTGAGCAGGGCTGCCACGGAGAGGGCATCTGGCCGCCTCACTCAGGGTGGCCTAAGTCGGAGCCGACTCGACGGCACCGGCCAGGAAGAGGGGGCCTGCTGCAGTCTGTGTCCAGCTGGATCAGAGCAGGAAGGAACGGGCGAAGAACCAGGCCGCCCAGAAGCGCCACCTGCAGGTTCGGGAGGGCCTGAGCAGGACACGCTCCGCGGGCCGCCTCCCTCCACCAGCCCGCTTTCCCACCCTGACTGCTGCCAGCTCCTTTCACTCCCCACCCTCACTGCCTCCCCTTGCTCGCTTGCCAGGCAGAGTTCCAGCGAGCCAGCAGGCTGTGACCCCCGCTTCTCCTCTTCCTCAGCACCACTTTATCCAGGGTGCTGGGAGGAGCAGATGCAAGACAGGGCTCTCGGTGGGGAAAAGGAGACGGCCCTCCACGGCTCTTGCCAGAGGGACGCCACATCTCTATAGTGCTGAGCATGCGAAATAGCTAAGCGAACAACCCTGACTCTCGACTCCAAGACGGCCGTCTCCTGGAAAGCATGATGCAACTGGCGTGGAGGGTTAGGTTTGTCCATTTAGTCATTTCGCATGCTCAGCACTGTGGGGATGCTGCCCGTCTCAAGGAACTCTCGACGGGACAACTTCTATCAGATTTGGAACCTCTTTTTTTTATTGGCTGGAGAAACGGGACTTGGTTTAGATCTAAAAATGTTTTTAAGTTTTCATAAATGGATCTGAATATGATTACAGAATGTTAAAAGATATGTATCTTATTGTGTTGTAAGCCGCCCCGAGGCTTCAGCAAGGGGTGGCATAGAAATGTTATAATAATAATGATGATGATGATGATGATGATGATGATGATGATGATGATGTAGTAAAGGGGTGACCCAGTAGTTCCAAAGTACGTGATGCTTGATGTTTTTAGTATTGGTTTAAAATTTTAATTAAAATTCTTTAAAAAAAAGAACTTTCGACGGGGCTAAAGCTCCTTCCAGGCAACGGGGCCCTAGCACTAAAAGCCAGAAGGCATGCAGGGTGATCCTGTCTGTTTAGCCCCTTCACTGTGGTAAGAGAAAGGACTGAGGCCCCAGCAAGAAAGCATGGAAGTTACAAGCGGATTGCAGTGTTGTCAAGACCCTAGCGCTGCCCCCACTGCAAATTCCAAGAATCTTACATGGCAAAAGTGTGTCGGTGGAAGCGCCCGAAAGACCGAGGCTGGAATCCCAAGGGGCAGGTGGGAAGGGAGTGGGCAAGTCTGGCATTCAGTCTCCAACAGTGGACAGCTGTACGTTTCTGGGTATGACTCAAGGAGGGTGTAAAGTTAACAGAAGGTCCCGCCGAGTCCCAGAAGCTGGGAAGCAAAAACGGCCAAACCGAGGCTGTCATACTCGGGTTACACCATGAGAAGGCACGACATGCTGCAGAAGAACACCATGCTAGGAAGAGGAGGAGGAGGAGGAGGAGGAAGACCGACTATAAGATGGATTAACTCCATCAAGGAAGTCGCAGCTTGGAATTTACAAGGACTGGGCATTTTGGAGAATGCTCTTCCATAAGCAAACCTGAAGTTGGAGACGACTTGAGGGCTGATAATAACAAAGCAAAGAACTTGCACGGAAGCATCATCAATCAATCGCCACAGACAAACTGATTCGCCTCTACCCCCCTTCCCTAAATTTGCACCTTCCAGATGTGCAGGGCAATTCCCAGGATCCGTCCGGAAAGAATCCCCCGTGAAGCTAACCAGGTAGTGCTGGAAGGCAGCGGGATTATCCTGACTCTTCCAGCCTGAATCTACCAGAAATTATCTCCTCAAAGGCCCCCCGGATGCCAAATCTGTCATCATTTTGGCACTGCATTGGGGCTGCTCTCTCCTCCCAGGCTTTTAGCGATATTTAATGGCCCGACGGGGAATTTACGCCCTCTGTTTTTAATGGGACCCGCCAGTAACCCTTTTAGCCATCACGGCGCTTACACATTTAGCCATGGTGGTTTCGTTTGTGTTGGTGGGCTGTGGTTTTCTGTATTGTTTGGGCTGCCCACAGGGGTTGGTCTGTTGGGCGAGACAGAACAGGCTCCCGCAAAGCATCCTTCCCTCCCAGAGCCATGCTTCGATTTCTGGAGTGGCCCAGCAGCCCAAAACAACACTCACCTGGCTCATCAAGGATGGGCTGCAGTTCCTGGGCCAGAATTTTGGCCAGCCGCGCAGCTTCCAGGGCTTTCTCTGCTGCGGCCAGCGCCCCAGCGGCCTTCATGCGAGCATCCGCAGCCCTGGAAGGGAAAGAGGGTTGAACGGGCTGATGCGGAGGGCTGGGCTCCCCACAGCCTGGACAGCCACCCACCCCCCAGGCTGCCCCTAGACGTGTTCCCCCTGAGTCCAAGCAAGAACCAAGGTCGAGAGTGCCCAACTTCAGCTAAGCTCTCTCAGCCCCGGGGCATAAAATGCTACAAGCACAGCAGAAATACAACCCACAATTCGCTGCCTTTTTGTGGCACACCAAATCCGGCGCCTGAGGCATCGTCCTCGCTTGACTAACGGCCATGCAGTCTCCTAGTCCACAGCTTCCAAATACACAATTTTCCAGCTTTCCTAAATAGCACATTCTACCCTGCTTCCTCCCCCGTGTTCCCCAAGGAGTGCTACCTGGCAGGCTGGGCTTCTGGCTATTATCCCTTATAATTCATGGGCTTTCTTGACAGCTTTGAGGGGAGGGGGGTCAGGGAATGTCCAGTGTCTTACAAAAAGGTGCCTCCCCCAACGGCAAATGAACAAATTAAGAACAAATACCAAGTGGTACCGCAGACATTTCACCTGGCTCCCTTTTATTATATCTGTATTGCATCTGGCATGTTTCCACCCTACAGATTTAGATCTACTTTTAAACTCTTTCAGCTGTAATAGTCCCTCCAGAAAGGAAGCCCAGAAACTGCCCATATATCTATATCTATATATTAAATTGAAAACATCACTGCAAGCTTTTAGGGAGGTACTGAAGACAAGCAGGTTTTCTCTGGCCTTCTCCTGCTTATGGCATATGGGGCTGATCTGAGGTTTTCGCTGCAGTGGAGTTTTAGTTTTTATTGCTGTCTATGTTAGAAGGTTTTGTTGCTGATGTCTGTCAATGTTATTCATTTCTGCATGTCGCGGTTTTTATTCTATGGGACTTCACTGTGCAAGGCTCTGTAGGAGAGGGGCTAGAAATACTTTAAACACAAAAGAGGCAATGAATTAGAGAGGTGATGATGAATTTGTAACTTCCCAGCCAAAAGCTGACCTCTGAAGAGGTTAGAAAAGTCAAAGGATTTCAGGAAGGAGATCCTAGCACTGCCCCCACCCCCCACAAATCTCCCACCAAGTACAGTTCCCATTAATTCTTGGAGAAGCCAGGGTATCCAAACTGATACCAAACTGGTTTAATTAATTAGTACTGCACAAACGCACTGGCCAGAAAAGAGAGGTCCCCATGTTTCGGGCTTCCACTCCTGGTGCTCCTGCCCATCGGGCACGTGCCATATTTCTTCTCCTCGTTCCTCCCTCAGGAGGCCCGTGGCCACCTCGTGCCCCGCTTCGTTCGGTTTTCCCTTATTTGTGAACCCTTTGTACGTGATCAGTAGCAAGAAGCAGGAGGAGCAACCAGCGCATAAGGGACAATGCTAAGCATCACCCCAGTGCATCTCTGGTGGGCCCGAGAACTAGGAGGAGAAAGTGAAGGGCTTGGGGGCCGCCGGTCATAAGAGTTTTGGTGCTACGTCCTGCGTCTGGCATTTGGGGAGGAAACGTGTCATTGGTGGCATGTTTGTTAATGTCTCGACATGTTGGAACAGTTTGGGGTGCCTCTCCTTGCGTTATGCATTACAGATAAATCGATGTTTTGCCTTAACGGCCTGTTCTGTAATTCTTTAAAACCAGTCAAATGAAGGGGTTGCACCGATGAGGTTAAAGACGGCAGCAGATGTGTTGATCAGTGGAATATGTAGGGCTGCTGCTGAGAATGGTCCAAACTAGTGCAGTGAGATTGTTAATCGAGGATTGGCTAAGGTGGTCACCTTATGCCAGTGCTTTTCCATCTATCCTGGCTGCCAGGTCATGTCCAGGCCCAATTCAAAGTGCTGGTGCTAACATTCAAAGATCCCTGAACAGCTCTGGGCAAGGTTTAGAGAGCCATCCGAGAGGGATGGCTTAATTTGGTGTCCTGTACTGAGCAGGGGGTTGGACCCGATGGCCTTCTGGCCCCTTCCAACTCTGTGATTCTACCCATCCTGGTACTCAGGCCCTCCTCCAGGTTGTCCCAACACCTGCGAAGCTACTAAGGAGAGGTCGTTCCCTGAGGGGCTCACCTGGCACCTACCTTTTGGTCCTTTTGGGAGCAGATGGGCCTTCTTGCTCTCCGAGATATTTTCATCCCTTAGTTTTATTGGCTTAAAATTCATTTTTGCATTTTTAAATGTTCATACCACCGCAGTGGCTTTCTCACTTTGCTTCAAATCATTTTATGGAGTTAATTGTTGTCATCTACCCAAACAGCTTCTGCCATTGGGCAGTATAGAAAAGTAGTAAGCAAATAGACAGGCATTCTTGGTTCTCGTGGGCACTTTTGTGAGGCAAAGCAGCATACAAGTTAAAAATGATGGTGATCACTGGGCCAGTGGCTACTCTTTGTGCATCAGATCTCTGCGTGTAATTCTGAATTTCTACTCTAAAGTGTACTATTCTGTGCAGGGAACCCAACACTGCAGGTTCAAGAACCTTGCAAAATATAGTGTTCTCCAAGCTAGTTTTAGATCCTCAGTAGTTACTCTCGCTACTGAGTCCCTTTCTTGTTGTGCTTAGAAGCGCACTGAAAATCCATTTGCTTAAGCAAGCTATTAATGTTTAATATCTTACCAGTTTAAGGGCATATTAATGCTATTTTGGGGTTCTTTTGCCTTAACTGTGGGTTTCATGAGTTTGAATTGTTCTTATTAAGTACTGGTTTTTGTTTATCTGTTTTTAATAGGCTGCTGTGGGCAAGAATTCTATGGGAAGGAGGGATAGAGATGGAAAAGACAGTAACTAGCTTGCCTTAAAGTGGTTAGAAGTCACAGAGATGCCTCTCAAACGATTTTTGGGAGGCTTTCTGACACAAATGATTCTTTCTGCTTATAGGAAATGTCCAACTCTTAGAAAAAATGCCTTTTCTTAAAAAAAGAAAACACACGTTTTCTATAAAACAGCTTTTTCTGAGCTCCCTCAGAAACTGTAAAGGTTTATTATTTCCACTTGGGAGAATGTAGAAATCCACATTTAGAAGCAGAGACCCACAGTCTCTACACATCAAAAAAGTGATGTGTGTGTGCATCCTTTGCTGAGAAAGCAATCCTAGAATCACAGAGTTGGAAGGGATCTGAGAGGTCATCTAGGCCACCCCCCACCCCATGAAGGTCCTACAAGACAGCTAGTATCTACAGCGAGAGATCATGACCGAGACAGTCTGTTCCCAAACAGCCCTTGTTAGGAGACCAGCTGCCATGTGACTCCCGCCTCTGGTTCAGTCCAGCCCCTCTGGCGCCAAAGAGGACCACGTCCTCTGTCCCCTTTGTCCAGCAGCCTTCCAGAAGTTTGAAAATTCCTATCATGTCTCCTCTTAAGCTGCACTTCTCCAAGCAAGATATGCCCAGTACTTTCAAAATCAGACTCGGTTTCCAGACCTGTCACTCTCGCTCTTTGCTCCTGTCTGGACATGTGCATTTGCCAATGTCCTTCTTAAAGTGTCATGCCTGGAACTGGATACCAAACTCCCGATGTGCCTTGACTGCTCCAGAACAGAGCAGAACGATCACTGACTGTGATCTGGGCCCTATGCTGCCATTAGTGCGGCCAATGACTGTATTTGCCCTTTTCGCAGCCATGTGGGTCAGATGCTGCCAGCACCCGCGGTACACAAAACCCCCTGCTTTGGGACTGCAGAGTCTCTTTCAAGGCAGAGTTCGATTTTAGAGCAGTTTCAGCAAGAGGGCGTATTCCAGTGGCGAGCAGAGCAAAATGAAAGAGGAGGTGAGGCTGAAACACCCAGAATGTGCTACCATATTCTAGTTTAGAGTTCATAATGCCTTATGAATAACCGCACCTTAGGAGTGCTGCTTTGACCTTTCAGAATGCGGAAAAGCTGCACAAATGCGGGAAAATCATCAGGGATTGAGGGAAACAGGGTGAGGCCCGGAGGAGAAGACATGGCCATCCGGGAGGCCAGATTGGAACCCCAGAAGGTCTGGATTGGGGTCCAGCCCTGAGATTCTGCACTCTGCCCTATACATAAATTCTCCAAAGGAGAATACAGATGTAAAGCACTGAGGTCCAGGATATGGAAGGATTGCTTTCTTTTCTCCCATACTGTTTTCCTGTCAAGTTCTTCAGCTTTGCTTCATGCTTGACCACTGTCTTGAGAAGGACTAACCTCAGCCTCCCACAAATGGATCTTCTAGCTCCTCTTTAGGACAATAGCTCTTTCTCCGTAGGACGTTTAGGGACCAGTCCTATGGACCCTAGACTCCGTTTGAAGGGCCGTAGAATAGTTTAAGAGTCCCAGATCCAAGGATGGAGATGGCACTTGGACCTTGGAGCTGGGAAGCAGAGATTGAACCTTTGCCTGCTGCTATCAACACAATCAGAAGCTCTTGAGATGTGCTCCAAGGTTAAGAATACAGTCCCAAAAGGGAAGAACGAGAGCATTTTAGAGGGAGGGAAGAAGAGTGGAGAGGCCAGGCTCCTTCCCTCCCAGTAGAGATCCCTCAACTAGAAAGATGCTCCAGGAAATCACAGTTTTGATCTAAATATCTAATGGAATGTCTCTCCGGAAGAGGCCTTCCTCCAAGTTTCATCTATGAGGCACCCTGGAAAATGGCAACAAGGAAGAGAGCTGTGCTTCTCAGGGGTGGCCCCTTGAGTATGGAATGATCACCCACCTGGCACCAACACTGCATCTTTTTGATGCCAGGTTAAGCTCCGAGGCATATGATGGGGCATTAATTATTAGATCTATATCCTGACTTTTTCTTTTTTACCCAACTCAAGGTGGCTTACATCATGCTCCTCCTCCCACTCTCAATCTTATCTCCCCAGCAACAACCCTGTGAGGTAGGCTGGGCTGAGAGTCTGTGACAGGCCCAAAGTCACCCATGGTTGAGCAGAGACTAGAACCTGGATCACCTGAGTCCCAGTCCCATTCTCTTAACCACTACACTGGCTTTCATTTATTTCATTAGGTTGTTCCATTAGGTCCAATCTATTATAACTGTTTTAGGTTTTAGATGCTGTACTTTAGAGATTTTATATTATGTTTTTATAATCTTGTATTGTGGTGTGAATTTTTGTAAGCTACCAGAGAACTTTGGCTATTGGGTGGTATGAAAAATAAATTAACAACAACAACAATAGTAATAATAATATTTTCCCTTTCTTGCGGTAGTTCCTGTTCTCTGGCTATTATTATCTCTTCTGATTGCCTAATGCATCCATTTGTATTACTTTGTAACATTTATTCTGTTACTTCTATGATGGTTTTTAGTTCCTTATCTACTGCTTTAGCAACCCTTGGCTTGAAAGTGGCATACAAACAAACAAGAAGGGTGCCCATGTATGAAGCACCCCCAGTTTTTCAATTCCTAGCAACTCCCAATTTTTCTGGACACAAGTCTTTCATGGAAAGGCCCATGGCTCACTCAGAGGTATTGCTCCGTTTCATTTTTAACAGAAAATTGGATTTCCCCCACTCCTCAATACACATATAGGGTGTTTCGTATTTGATAAAAGCTTTTCCTACCATCATTTAACATTCTGAGGTTGAGAAAGATGACAAATATCTAATCCTTCTAGAAAGGGTATGCCTTCGCCCCGCCACTCTCCTAGAAAAACCCCACATCTCATAGACATATGAGCACAGGGACCTAAAAGTGCCTCCCAGCGACTTCCCTGAGGCTCGCTTCCCCGCAGACTTGTTCAGAGTCAGCAGCCATGTTTCAGCAGTCACGTGCCCGCAGCACATTTCAAACCCATTTTCCAACGCTTAGAAGTAAACACCGCAGCAATATTAAAAACCCGCCTCACCGGTCTTCAGAGAACTCTGCTCTGCCTGCTTGTCTCTGGGCACCCCCTCATGACACGCTGCGTTTCTGAGCACCCACGCACCACCCTACACCTTATGCGGAACATCGCAACCCGACACCCTCCCTCTCACAGCCGCTTTGCCGTCCCTCGGTTTCCACGCCTCCGAGCTCGGGGACGCTTCCCGGGCCCTTCGCCCACAGCCAGCACACGGCACCTGCTTGGCCATGGCTGCCCAGCTCCCAGCCCCCTTCGCCCCCCCCCCCCGCACCCATCCCATCCCTGGTCCAAGCCCAGAGGATGCTGCTGCTCTGCTGTTGCCATAGCAGCCACGAGCCAATCACCTTGCCACGGCCCAGTTGCCTAGGAGACCAGGCGGCCTACACCGGGCCTGGCCTTGGTGAAGCCCACTTCTCTGTTCTCCTTCCTGCCAACACACAGGGCAGACGCGGCCGCACACGCGCACACCGACACGCAACAAACACACACACACACCACTCCTTCTGCATGCTCTCTCTCTCTCTCTCTTTTTACATGCAAGCACACTTGACTGGCTAGGGACCCAAAGGAGAAGGGGATGGAAGAAGAGAGATGGACATTAAGGGGCAGGGACTGTGAAAAAGGAACATGTGGCAGGCAAGGGAAGGCCAAGGAAGGAGAAGGAAGAGGAAAGGTGAAGAGAGAACAGATGGGAAAGCGAAGGGACGGGAGCAGTGGAAAAGGGCTGTGGAAGGCCTAGGAAAGGGAAGAGGTTATGGCAAGAGAACCCGAAGAGAAAGAAGACGGAGAGGCGAAGACGAATGGAAGGGAAGCCATGGGCGTGTGAGGGACGGGGGGACTGGAAACTGATGAGGGGGAATCAGATGGGAGAGGGCACACAAGGAGAAAATCGAATGCTCAACGGCAGAGGAGAGAGCCCGGCCAGCCACAGGCGAGCACACGGGCGAGAAGAGGCGGCACGTCCGCGCCTAGAAGCGGCTGCCAGCGTCTCGTTTTCGATCCATATGGGCAGCCCCCCAAGGCTTGGCACGCCATGTTCCTTCCAGTCCCAGCGGAGGAAAAACGATGCACACAGCTTTTCTGGTCCTCTCCCCCACCCCCTTTGTGATTAATTACTTTCATAATGAATTTTCCATTTGGAAGCCAGACGGAGAGCAAATTTACAAGGTAGCCATCCAAGTCTGCCTGGGATGGGCGATCGAGTCGAGCGAAGCTTTCAGACCATTTTAAAATGGCTGCCCTGTTTTTTTTGGTGAGGGGAAAGACTGTTCTCTGGAATAAACATAATTCAAATGCGGCTTGCCAGTGGTACCCCGATTTCAACTAGCCTTTACCATTATAATTTCCCACCTTTCCCCAGTTGGAAACAGGCATCTGGAAAACTCCAGGAGATGAGCACAGACTTCATTAACTCCAAATCAAGAAGCGGAAAGGTGCAGGCCTTAAAAAGGCCTACATTTCTGAAGAAAAAACCAGGCATCCTCTAGATACGGTAGCTAAGCAAGATACATTTCCTAAAACAAAAGGCAGTGTTTAAGCTGGGCTCTTCCTAGGTGGTGAATTTTAGGACCCAAAAGGCAGTTTTTGGAGAAAAGGAACTAATTTGCCTCCAAATCAAAAGGGAATTTTAATGTAGAATGGGCCCCTCAGGCCATTCTCAAAGACGCAGCCCCCTTTTTGATCCCTCCCTAATCGTGAATGATCTTACGGGCACGATCATAAACAGTTACCCTTCTGTTTCAGTGTTTCCTTCAGAGCGTTTCACCATTCCCCAAGGTTACCCTTGCAGTAGGCTCAGCTTTAATGCTAGGCAATGAACCACGTTACCTTTGCGTGTGTTTACCTGTGTCTACATACAGAAATGCATGTAGTACAGAAACGTACTCAAATAGGCCCCCTTCCTTGGTTTCCCACGCATGCACTCATGTTCTCCCCCATGTTGTCTTCCAGATTTCTCGAATCGACCCCCACGCGCCAAGTTAGCCTTTTCCTACTGTCTTCCTGGAAGCCTTCCTTCCATCCATGTCCCTGCAGCAGCTTTCCCCTCTCCCCGATGCCTCACACCTCTCACCTGGCGATGGCCAGCTCTTGCTTCTGCCGGGCCATACTGACGGCCCTTCTAGCCACTTCTACGGCTCGGTCAACTTTCTCTTTGACCTTGCTCCGGCGAAGGGGAATCAGATTCTTCACCTTGCCGCTCACCAGACGGTTGAGCTTGTACTTCCCCTCTTCCTTGGAGCCGTCGGGGTAGGTGGTGCGGCCGTAACCGTGCCGGCGATTGCCTAGCCACTCGCCCTCGTACCGCAGCCCGTTGGAACGGCGGCTCACCCCGTAGCCGCTGCGGCGGTCCGCCCGCCACTCTCCTGCGTAGACCTCGGTGGAAGACCCCTCAATAGTCAATGCTGAAGGCAACTCCGGAGGTTCTGTCTCTGCGTAGCTGAGTGTGGTGGCCTCGCTCCCAGCCGAACTTACCCCTGCCTCGCTCTTGAGGGACCCTCTTTTGCTGCCCAAGGAAGCCTTCGACTCAGCCCTGCGCACCCGGAGCCCGCTTAAGAGCAGGGAGCGGCGGAAGAAGCCTCCGGTTTTCTTCTTGGCTCCCTTGGGGAAGTCTGGGTCACCTGGGAAGGCCAAGACAAACCCACCCCTCGATCCGGAGGCTGGGCTATCCCCAGGGAGAGGTGGCGGGGGAAGAGGAGGAGGAGGGAGCGGTGGAGCCGGGGTGGTAGGGTCAGTCTCGCTGTGGAGTGACTCGAGGGAGGTCCGGCGCGGGGAGCGCACCAGGGCCGCCTGGCGGTAAGGAACACTCTGACGCACTCCGTATCCGTGACGTTTTCCGAACTGCCACTGGCCCTGGTAGGTACCTGCGGAGGAGGAGAATGTGGAAGAGGTTAGCCCAGAAGAACCGGTGAAGAACGCGGGAGGAAAGCTGAAGCAGAGATGGCGAGAAGAGAAAGGGAAAAGCCCGATGGAGAATCAGGCCCCCAAAGGAGGAAGCTTAGCTTCTGAGGGTTTCCCTGGCAATGAGCTTCTTTCAGGTACAGGGAAAGTGGGTCAGAAAGTGGGCCAATGTTTAGTTCTGGGGAGGCGCACAGGAAGGTCAGAGACAAGATGCCAGGGAACAAAGGTGGTACCTTATGCAGGAGATCAACCTTTTCTGAGCTAATGGGCAGCATTATTCTTGATGAGGAAACTGGAAAGGTACTGGGTAAGAACAGGGAATGTGAGTTTCTCGATTATCCAGTGTTGTATCCCACACTTCCTTCAAGAAGCTTTTGGGGTCATGGCCTTTCTGGGCCGACATCACGACAAGGCCGTAAGCAGGCCTGAAAAACTTAACTTGACCTACAAGTTAGGACTTGATTGGAAATTGTTGGAAATAGGGAGTTATCTGTTATAAGGATTAACATTTGGGATTTAGTTCTTATTGTATCATAGTTTATTGTGGTTCTAGTCTTTCATACACCACACTGGGAGGGTTTCCCCTAAAAGGCGACCTATGAAACGTTAAAATAAATAAGCAATAAAAGAGCTTATGTTATCCTCACATTTAAAATTGTGAGACTGATTGGGAGAGAGCTTCTGGTGCCTAAGGTGCCATTGCCACCAGCAAGAATCTGAATCCGTTCTCCCTGCTCCCCGCCTTTCTCAGCTTCAGTTGGACACATGGGGTGGCAAAGACGCCACCGGATGCTGCAGCGTGGCAGGGGACACCGAGAGGAGAGGCACAGGGAGCGCGAGACGCGGATGCCTAGCCATGCAGCACACTAACCCAGCAAACAGAGCCGTGGAGAGGAGCATCGTTCACCTGGCAGGGCGGGAGCCAAGAATGGCGTCGCAGGTGAGCGAATGGCAGGACAAAAGGCAAGAGCGGAACCCGCTGCCGCCTGGCCACGCGCGGCCCGCTCACCTCCATCAGCGTACGTCTCCATGCCGTATCCATCCTGCAGGCCCTCACGCCACATGCCTTCATAGACGACACCGGACTGGCTTTCCCAGACGCCCGAGCGCCCCTTCAGCCCGTGGCTCCACTCCCCCTTGTAGCTCCACTTGCTCTTGCGCTCCACGCCGAGTCCACTGCGCTTGCCTTGACTCCAGTGGCCCTGGTAGGTGTTCCCACTGGGCCACGTGTAGACGCCCAGGGACTCGAAGCCACGGCTCCAGCGCCCACTGTACTCCCCCTGGGCCCCGGGGCCAGTGCATACGCCGTAGCCATGTGCCCGGCCCTCCTCCCAGTCACCCACATAGCAGCCGCCATCGTCAAACTCGAACCTGCCTCCGTTGGACATTCATGTAACGTTTCTCCCCGGCCAGTCGGGCGCCAATTACCCACAAGTTCCTGCACACATCTCCACTCCCCCTCCGGGACTCCCCTACATGGCACTGGCCGACGGAGGCAAACTTCAGCCTTTCACACTTCTTTTCACACAACCAGGCATCTGGAAGCTTAACTCCTGCTGCTGTTGGAGATCTCCAACTATAACTTTGCCAGTGCCTGGCTTTTTTGACTTACAGGCATGTAAAAGCTGCGGCTGGACAGGAGGCCAGCTGGTTACTGATTCACTGAGCTGCTGGGGAAATGGGAACAAAGGGAAACGAGATTCCGGGGCCTTAGCGGTTGTGGGGATGGGGTGCAGCTCTGCCTAGATCAAAGTTTGCACTCCTCATGTCACAGGTGCTGGAATACTCAGAAATCTCTGGTTCTCTGCGAAGAACTCCGAGGGTCATCTGTAACGGCCGAGAAGTGGAGGTCTTGATGTTTCTCCCTACAGGAACTGGCAGTTCACTTGAGCTGAACCATGGCTCAAGGCTTTCCAGCTACAAACGTACCCGTTCTCTTGGAGGTCTCTAGCCATCGGCACAGGCAGGCAGTACAGACCTGTCAAGACCCAGCCCGAGCGTCCCACCAAGCTTCGGGCGCTATCTTGCTACACGGGTCCAGCAAGGCCGGAACCTCGGTTGATGGGGCAGATGCGTGGCAGAACGACAGGCATTTCAAGTGGTCCTTTGGCTGCAGTCGTAGGAGGGTCTTAAAGCAAGAGGAGCACTCGAGTGTCTTTGGTTAGCACCAAGCATCCTAGAGTTCCTCGAGGTGCCCTGTTATCCGAGCACGATGTTCCTGGAGTTCTTCAGCCGCAGGAGACGAGCGCACAGTTCCCCGCTTGCTGTTTCGTACAGTGTTCCACGGTCGGTTGCTGATTAGTCCAGCAGCTGGAAACGTCGACTTGTTACAGGCAGACAAGGGTCAGCAGGGGATTCGTTTGCAGGCATCCAGTGGTCCCCCGTCAGAGCAAAACTCATTGGCAACGTATCGCTAGAGAGCCGTCTGGGCACACAGGGGGTACTGTTGCCGCTGGTGGAGATGGGGCAGTTGTGCTGGGATTGGTTGGGGGCCCTCTGAGGCCTTCTGCCTCTGCTTCTGAGCTGCTCTTGGGGCTGACGGGACACAGGGTCTGGGACTCTCTGGCTGCAGGCATCCGTGGCAACGAACAACAAGGGTGGTCTGTGGACTTCTCTCTGCTTGAGCCCAGAGAGCTCATCAGAAGCTGCTCAGAGGAAAGCTAGATGTTCACAGGACCGGGCAGCCCGTTCACAGGGCGCGGGAGCAACAGCGGAGCTGCTGAAGACGACCGCATGGTGTAATGGGTAGGAGACCACCTGTGCCAAGAGACACACGGATTAGGCGAATGCAATCGAACTTTTCAGGGAACAAGACTGGCAAAGTCTTAGGAAGACGGTCTCTTAGCCTGTGGGGGTCCCGATACCCCAGTGTCCTCAGTGCTTGGTTTTAAGACCCAATTCAGAAAGCAGAGCACATGCTCACACATGCCCCCCTGCCCCCACCATGGGGAGTATCCAAGGCACAAATAGAAGCACATGCGTTTTTCATATAAACCTATTTGTAAACAAGGCTGAGAAAAGCCCCTTCAAATATGAGCAGCACATGACCACAGCAGGAGAAAGGCTGGTACCACTCGAGAAAAATAATGCAGACGGCACACACAGGTGCTTGGAAAAAGCAGGGCACCCAAGCCCATATGCATGCAAGACCCAGAAGGGAGCCTCAACGCATGCCAAGTCAGCACTGCAAGCGCACCTGACATATATAAAAATGTGGGCACACACAACATTGTTTTAGCAAAGGTGGAGCAAGGGACCAGCCTACATACATCTCTGCATTCATTATTTGCCAACTAGCTTTTCACAGATGCATGATAATTTAGTAGCCTGCAGATAGTACCACACATAATTCTTCTGGGGTGTGTGTGTGTGTGTGTGTGTGTGTGTGGGCATGAAAGGGCATGAAAAACAAGATGATCTCCTGTCGGTGCTTGTACACACATGCAAATAACCGATCCAGTTATAAAATGTCACATAGGTAACCTGGCAAACAGAAAATTAATGTTTTGAAGGAGAAGCTATACATTTGGGGATAACCAGCGCGCTCTGGACCTTAAGTGGAAAGCAGGGGTGGGGGGATCAGTCTTATTTATTTCATGTCAACAGCATGCAGAGAATTAAGAGCGACAGCTCACAGATACACAAACACGATATACAGAGCAGCTAAGAATGATCTCCACACTTACCATGAGTTTAATCTGGAAGCAGTTGAGGCAAACAAGAGGCACACGCTTCTAGAAAAGCGAGATAAGATAACAGACACACCCAAGCCTTGAGTGAGCGCATAGAGAGGGACAGAGCTCAGCTGGGAAAAAGCGCAAACCAATCTGGGAGGATGAAGATGGTTTGTGTAGAAAAATAGCCACTGGAAAAACGAGCTGGAGGATGAAGGCAGAAGCAGCAAGTCTGAAATGTGTCAGCATAAATTGGGGAGGGGGGTGGAGAGGGAAGGGGGTTAGAAAGCCCAGCCGGGAGCTAATGAATAGAGGTAGATTCCAAATGGAGCGATCAGGTGGGAATAGTATGAAACCGAGCTGGGGTGGTGGGGAGCAGCCGATGCCTGTGGAGATCCAGGAAAAGGCAAGACCAAAAATGTCAGCTGAAAGATGAAATGCAGAGAGAAAGAAAACAGAATAATCGGGATGGGAGCAGACAGCGGACCTCAGGTGGCTGCACTTCTGAGCGTGGATCAGCAGGGAAATAGCACAGAACGAGCGACTCCGAGGCAAGAGATCGGGGTGTGTGGGTGGGGGAAAGCCCTCATCCAAACCGTAGGGGGAAAAGGGTACGCTGTGGACATCCCCCCTCCCCCAGAGGGAGGTATGGTTAATTCTTACACTATTTCTGATGGTTTTCCCCCCAAAAAATTATCCCTCGTGTGGAAGCCATCGTTAAAAAGATAGAAATGTGAAATCCTTCCCCACCCCAGAATGGAGAAAAAAATTATCGGAAGGAAAGCGAAAAATCAACCACACTGAAGTGGAAAGCAACAATGGGGGAGAGGCGAGGAAAGACCCAGACTGGATGATGCATGCAGAGCCCCCGAAGGATCCTTCGGGGATGGTGGGGCAGAGTGGAAGGGGATGGCGGGGGCGGGCGCGTGGGAAGGGGGTACCGTGCTATTAAAAAGGGGAGTCCCTGCGTTCAGAAGCTGTCCCCCACCCCTCAGTACGGATGGCTGTGAGCGCTGGTATTGCAGCGTCAGCCGTTGGGGGCAGGGGGAGGGGATGGACTTAAATCAGGCTCTACCCAGACCGAACCCCTTTTATCGGGAGACCGGGGTCCCTCCCCAGCACACACAGAGACACCCACAAAAGGATCCAGTTGGAAACACAGCTTTATTTGAGCCGAAACAGCAAGGCACTGAGAAATGACATGGAACCACAATTATCGGTGCTGCAGACCCTCCAGCCGCCCCCCTCCCATGTCCACACCTGTTTTTCTGTGCAAATTTTCCCCAAATCCATGACCTCACCTGCAATCGCTTCCTTCTCTCTCCAGTTAATGCTCTATGCCCCAAAATCACCCACGGTTAAGTATCCAGCTAAGCATTTGCCTCAGCCCCCCAAGTGCACAGAGCCCCCATCAGCATCAGGAGTGTGTCATCCATGGTGTACAAGGGGCCCTAAAATTCAGCCCATGTTGCAATGTGCTTCCCTCGGTCCTTTCCCTTTATATTTTCTCGGAGCAACATCTCAATCTTGCGCCATCACCTCTTCCCCAAGGAGCCATCCATCCACCCAACCCCACAATGCACCAGATGTCTGTTTGCCTTGAGGACACCCCCCTGCACTAGCGTCCCCATTCTGCATCCTTGGGGCAGGGGAGGGCATTGTGCGATCATCCGTATGTCCATCTGTGTAGACAGGTGGAAAGGTAGGCCGGCCCTCCGTCAGAGGCGCGAAAGGGCACCTCCAGCTACCACCATGGTCTCCCCAGTGATGTAGTTGGCATCTGGGGAACACAGGAAGGAAACCATGCCAGAACAGTCAGATGGGTCTCCGATCCTGAAGGGAAAAAAGGGGGGGAGGCAGAGTCAAGGGAAGAATTCCAGGGACTCCTTGGCTATGTCTGCATAGAACATGCAACACCCAAGAATCCTGGCTTACTGTGAACATGCAACACCCAGGAATCCTGGCTTACTGCTGGTGTACTCTGCTCATTCACGCCCACTTGGCTTCTCCAGAGAGTGCAAAGCACTAATTATATCAGAGTTTGCTAAGCATAATGCTCAAACCTCAGATCCTGGCTAGAAGAATTGTAAGCCAGGATTTAATCTTGGTATATGAATCATGGCTTGTTTGGGAGGAACAAACCAGGATTCTGAGTTCAGATGGCATGTTTGTTTTATTCATCACTTCTAGGAAAGCAGGAACCACCAGACTGTAAGCATCACGTCGTTTGTGGCAAGCCAGGATTCCCCAGAAACCTGGGTTACCAATCCATGCTAATGCGGGCTACAGAAGGCGCAGACGAGAGAAAAGAAGAAAAATGAAAAACGTAGAGGCAGGAGAGACCCCAAGGAGGGATCAGGAAAGCCAGAGATGAGGCAAAGAATTGGAGGAGCCATGACAGGATGGGAAAAGCTGAAGGTGAAAAGGTGACCTGGAACGGCAAAGAGCAGCAGCGTTGCGGCCCTCTCTCAGTGAGATAAGCAGGTCTGTGGACGACTAAGCCCAAATCTTGGTCTGAAGAATGCGTTGTCCAGCCCAGGAGGACGTAAAAATTGTTGCCTTGTTTGAGAGGAGTGCAGCTTAGATTGTGCCGTAACACAAGCCTTGCCTCCTTCTGCTAGAACAGGGATGCTGAACAACCAGCCCGAGGGCCGGATTCCATTTTGGAAATCTCTTGGGGGCTGCGGATGGTTGAGGCTGAAGAGCAAACAGGGCAGAGATACCGCCGCATTTTAAAGCTCATACTGCCAGTAGCTCAGCCTTGGGAGAAGCATGTCAACCTTTCAGAACGAGGGAAAAGCTACGCAAAAGCCAGAAAACAACCAAACGACTGAGCAAGAGCGCTTTGGCTCTGAGGCGGTATGGACATGCAAGTAAAATAATAATAAAAAATAATGAATAAAGACGGAGTGTGACCAAAGGAAGGGAAGTGAATTCATCTGAGGAACATCTGATTGGTGGGGCAGGAGCCCAGGCGGTGGGGACGTGGCCCCTGGAGCGGAGCTTGCACACCCCTGGGCTCGAACAAGGCAGACGGACGCCCATGGAGGTGGCAGCTGGGATGGGGAACCATGTGGGGCAAGCTCAGTGGCAGTCCTGGGCAAGAGGTTCTTGGGAAGCACACTCCAAATATGGCAGCCGATTCAAATGCACTGCTCTGTCTTCCTGTGGTTGGTCTGGGGCCCACAGCCCTCTAGCTGCTGGCCACTGGTTTACTGGGAGGGTTGGCCGCATGGAAAGTTTACCTCTGTATCTTCATGGCCTCCATCAGCTTGTCGCCCATGGCTTTGTCCTGCCACAGCTGGGGGGAAAAAAAGCCATCAGTCCACCTGTTTTATTCATTTGGATCTATTCGAGCTCCACACTGCTGTATTTCTGTTTCTAGCAAACCCCTCACAGAATTAATAACCAGCAAAGCAACGAACAACAAGCAATAATGCACATACTTGGTACCTGTGGGAAAGCTTTCTGCCAATTCTGGATTGTTCCCAGTGGAATTCCTCTATCCACCCTTCTGTATTTTCAACATCTTAATTCGGTTTCATAATGGGGAGGGGGAGGGAAGTTCCCCCCTACAAATATCCTGGAAAACGATGCATCTTATCATTGAAGAAGCTAAGTTTGCTTTTCTGGATCCCTCTTTCTATCCTCAGGTTTATCTGTTGTCTTGTACTAAATCTGTTGACTTGGTCTTTCCCACAGAGATCAGAGTTTCCACCCTGGTCGTTTCTTGAATCTTCTTGTCTGGATACTCAATTCGTGATCCCGCCAGAAAGTGCCAACTTGAAATTCAGAGGGTGGCAACATGGGGGAAGCCTGCCTTGGCAATGCCCCCGCTTCTCTCCATGGTGGCCCATCAAATACCAAACCTGTTGTCTTTTAAGTGCCAGGTTAAAACAGCCCTTTCTGCCAAGGCCTTTAAAAATTTGTTTGGCTACTCAGTGGCTTAAGAGGATTATCCACCCAGGTGTTAGTTCTTCCTTTTAACAGAGTCATTCTTTGCTGTTCGTGTGATGTATTTTTAAACCCTTTATGATTTTTAATTTCATTTTATTGCCTTGTTTTTAGAGATGGTTACACACTGCCCAGAAGGACTTCAGCTATGAGGCAGTATATGAATGAAATTAGTGACTATATATTGCAAAACCAGATGTACAAATTGGCAAGAAACTGTTTCTGAACCCGAGTTGGACAGAAAAGTTCATTTTTACCTTGGATTCATCAGTGAGGGCTGGGGTTACACTCAAGTCATTGTGGAATTTGTGCTGCAATATTTGTTAGATTCTTGGATTGGCCCCGCCGTACGCAGAGCTTTATAATCTTCTCCACTTCTAGTGATTAAAGCTCATTGGGAATGATCAGTGATATTAAATCATGATCCATGTTTAAAAATATTCATTATCAGTGAATAAAAATGAAACATGGGGTCTTAAGCAAGATTAGACCGATTCTGTCTAATCAATAGCTTACTGCTTTAATGTGTGACTTTGAAGATTCAGCAGATCGTGGGTTACATCTAAGTCAAGAAAAACTCTTTGTTGTTATGTCTAACAGATATTAACGCATTATCTTTAAGAAGGGCCTGTCATACTGCAAATACATCAGTAGCCTCTTTTTGGGAGGAGATTATAATAGGGATAAACTTTGTATCGCAACATTCTTTAGTTTGCATTTGTGGACATGTGCTTTAAAGTTATTTACCTGTTTTTGGGACGTTAATGCAGGGTCCACATAAATGGATTTTCAGTGCCCTTTTGGCAGCTAAAAGTCTTAATCATGCAACACTGGAGGGATTAAAGCTCACAACCTACAATGCTGTGGAATGAAGTCCTCGTTGCAAAGCCATATGAAGAAGGTGGCTTCTTCTGGACACCACCAGCAAATGGATACATAACATGGGAATTTGCTTTGTCTTTGCTAAAGCATACATGTAATTGATATATTCTAATCTATGCCATTTTTCTTTCTTTCATCCTTCTCTCTTGTTATGATTTTGCTGTTTTGTTTTGTTGGAATTCACAATAAATAATTTAAAAAGTCTTCAGGTTGGGCTCACACCGAGGGGAACACTCCAAAGGCAGAAGTGAAGCAACTCAACCAGAGAGGTCTACCCACATTCTCCTGCCCCACCACCAATCATTCGATGGCTCCCAGCTTCGGTGTTCACTCCCCGCAACAATTCCAAACTGTTGAAATGGCTCTCCTAGAAGTTAGTGACCGGCCCTAGGAGCTTCACTTGAAAATATGCCGCTATTCTTGGTATTTTGAGCAGCACCACTGGAATCTGGCCCCTCTGAAATGGAATTCGGTCCTTGGGCTGTAGGTGGTTGAGCAGTTGTGCCTTACGGATCCACGTCGCTTGAAAGTGGAAAAGAGCGCTTTGGGTGAGCTCAGTTTCGTTCATGGTTTGTAAGACCGTCGGGATCCTCGATTCGCATGCTGCACCCGGGCCCTGCACTGTGTGAGAGGCTGTATTAGACCGCTTCCAAAGTCCCTGCCCAATTAACTCCGCCATATTGTGTCAAGTGGGTTGAACCAAGACCCACCGACGGCAACAGGTTACACACGTCACAGTCTGTTTCCCACTGAAGTCAATGGATTGAAGTGCTTCTAAGGTAGTCAAGATCCAAACCAGAAATTTTAGCTGCAACCTTTTAACTGCTATGCATCTCAGTTGACTTATCATTTTATTGTCCTTCTGATATGTCATAAATGGATGCTGGGAGTTTTCTATTAAAACTGCAGTGCCCCAGCAAACTATTTTAAATAAAACAGTTCATTTAAAGAAAAGCTTCTTAAAAGCAAAGTGACCCAGTACGAAATCCGTCAGCCTGGCAGAGAAAACAGTCCCCATAGAAGCAGGGAGGGAAAATGGAAAGGAAGAGATGGGGCAGGGAGGTCGCAAGAAGGCGACAGAGAGAGCGAGGAGGAAGTGGGTCTCATTGGTTAGAGGAGGGATTTCCGCAGGATGGACATCATACAGAGAAGACGTCGGCCAGCGGGCCAGAGGGGTGTGCCCCAGAGAAAGAACCTCCCCCCATCAGTCCCCAAGGTGGGGGGGCAGGATGAAATAGGACGAGACACCACTCCACGTCTCCCTCCTGCCCTGCAGTACTCACCGCGGAGCTGAACTTGGTGCGGATCAGGCCCGGTGCCAGACTGTTGATCCGGATGTTGCTGGGGGCGAGTTCGGGGGCCAGGGTGCGGGTGAGGCCCAGGAGGGCCGTCTTGCTGACGTTGTAGGGGCCCAATCCCTAGCGGGGGGAGGAAACAGAGCGGCTTAGGTCGGCCTTCTCCAACCTGCTGCAGTCCAGATAGGTAGGACTGCAATTCCCATCATTCCCAGTCAGCAGAGCTTGGGGAAAACATCTTGGCATCCTCAGAAGAAACTTGGATAGCAGAGATGGGCAACCATTTACTCACTCACTTACTTACTTATATACATACATAAGGTAAAGGTTTCCCCTTGACATTAAAGTCCAGTCATGCCTGACTCTTGGGGCGGTGCTCATCTCCGTTTCCTAGCCGAGGGAGCCAGCGTTTGTCCACAGACAGTCTCCGTGGTCACGTGGCCGGCATGACTAGACACCAAATACACAGAACTCTGTTTCCTGCCCACTGAAGTGGTCCCTTTTTATCCACTTGCATTTGCATGCTTTCGAACTGCAAGGTTGGCAGGAGCTGGGACTGAGCAACGGGAGCTCACCCCGTTGTGCAGATTCGAACCGGCGACCTTTCGATCAACCATCCCAGCAGCACAGCGGTTTAAACCACTGCGCCACCTGCAGTCCCTATACATACATACATGCCTGTATAGGCTGCCTATAATTGCTGAGGTGGCTTTTTCTCCCTATTCAAATCCGGCGGGACCAATGGAGGTTGTTGGGCAGAGAAAAAAACCTCCATCCAACTGTTTCCAAACCAGGCATTATTCTATGCACCCACTGCCTCTGCCGGCCCCCTTTCTGAGGTTCCCTACAGGACCCACGAAGGAGGTTTTGGTCCCGAAAGGGGAGATAAAAGAGAGAAAGGTCGACTCACCGGAAATGGCAAATATGCAGCAACAGACGAGACGATCACTATGGAGCCGCCCCTGAAAGAAAGTGGAGAAAAAATAAAAGTAGGACAGGCAGAAAGCTGCTCTTGTTTCTCCTCTCTTTCTCTCCTCTTTGCACTTCTGTTCTGCAGTAGCTGGTGGACCGAGGGATGCCTAGACAAATCTGAAACAGACGCCAAGAAAATGAACTCAGATTTCTAAAACACGTAGATTCTGCAATTGAGCAGCTTTTCCAAAGTTGCAGAGATTCTGCAGACTTGTGGACTTTTTGTAAAAATTTCTATAATTTTCTGCCCATTTAGTCATAGAAAAACAGTGCCATTTTAAAGGAGCAATCAAAAGTATTCATTTGCCCATAGGCTAAAGTGAAAACACAAGTTTTTCAATGGATTTTTGCATTTTTGGGCATGCATTTGCTCAAAAGTTGATTCCATCAGAGGGGAGGAGGAAATGAGAAGCGCTGGAGATCTGCAGAACCCAGGCAGCGAAAAACGAAGCTGATGCTGCAACCTTTTTCCACCCGCTAGGTCAGGGGTCGGCAACCTGCGACTCCGGAGCCACAATTGGCTCGAGTCCCTCTGCTGCAGCTCCGTCGCTCAAAACACGCGCCGGCACAAGCACCGATCTGTGACAGGTGCCAATTACTGAGCTTTTCACGATTTATGGAGCTTTTTCCCCCGGTAGGCCAACCATGGATAAATCGAAGAAAAGTTTCTGAAGAAAACTGAACGTATGTAGGCAGATTCATTTGCTTTCACTGCTGACGAACTTATGGGGTTTGCTGTTTAATGCACGCAGCCCTTTCGCACTGGCTTTGACCCTGCAGGAAGCTGTTCTCCTATTCAAAATATATGAAAGGAGTTTATAATGTAAGATTAAAAATTACAGTTTTTAGTGACAACAAGAGCTGAAGCTAAATCATAATGAAGATATAGATCCACTTCCTTGTTTTAAGAAGATTCTTATAAAAATTCCAGCAACATTATTACATTGGGAGAGGGATGTTTGTTCAATATTTCACCAGACTATTATTTGGTATTTGTTGTATTGCAGAAACTCTACTTACTGAATGAAAGTATCAGTTAGTCCTTTTTAAATTCAGGTTGGCAGCTGACTGCACCCTCCAGTACATGTGATAAAAGGATGACGGCACACAGAAGCAGAGGGCATTTTTGGTTTGCTGCAGGTGGATAATTTAAGTTCGGCTTTGTATTTCATAAATACAAGGAGGACTCAAATAGACACTGACTATTTTATTTGAAAGTAACCTTCAACCCAGCGTCCTTTTTTCGGCATTCAAAATGTTTTTGTTCCATGCAGAAATAAAAAATTGTTTTCTCCGTATAAGTTCATTGATTTCATAAATGCAACACACTCTAGTTTTTTTAAACATAGCATAAAGGGAAAAAACGATATATGCAATGTTATCTTCATTCTAGATGTCAAAAGGGTTTTGCAGCTCCCGGTGTTTTCTTTTCTGTGGGAAACAGGTCCAAACAGCTCTTTGAGTGTTAAAGGTTGCCAACCTTCTGGCTTAGATGGAACTCTGGCTCTGAGCATTCCTATACCTGACAGGAATGGTAAGAGTTGCACCACAAACCTTCACGATGGGGTGAGGTTGGGAAGGGCTCCTCTGGCTTGGTCACAAGGCCCAAAGAGCAAGTTTGGGCCCATCATCAAGTTCCACTGTAAGCTACCTCACAGGGCTGTTGTGAACCAGCTCAATCAACACAGGACAATATAAATGTAGACGTGACGTTCAGCCTCAGAAGATGGGAGCACGGACATTGTTCTTTAAGCTCGTAGGATGACAGAAAACAGGCTTAGACCAGGTGGCCAGCCATGAGGACTAGGAACTTGGTCCCACCTCTGCAGGGAGGAAGTGGCCACTGAAGGCTTCTCAAGATAGCTCTGCAGACCTGGAAGTCAGGCTGTGGGGTCGGCCTCATTTAAAAAGGTTACCTTCTACGCAATTCATGGTATTCTGTAATAACTGGGATCTTTTTCATGCTTTTGCTGGGGTATGAGGGCAGAGATACAGCAAAAGCCACAGAGGAGGAGGCTATCAGGATGAGGACTAGAAACTTGAGGTGGACACACCAGCTGATATGGGGTTTAGGTGAGGATCAAAAGCTCAGTTCTGTGAGAGAAAGAAAGGAGTCAGGAACTGGGGGAAAGGGGCTTGAAAGGAGAACCAGAGAGGGGGGAAGAACTTGGCTGGGACTAGAATAAGGATTTTAGCGCCACAGACAAAGGCCCATTACTCCTCACCACTCACCCCCTCTTCTCCATGTGAGGTACGACCAGCTTGATGAGCAGGGCCGTGGCCTTGACGTTGATATCCAGGATCTGGAACAAGGAGAGGAAAGCACCTTCAGGGTGAGCAAGAGGAGGCAGACCCTTGGTTGGTCGGCAAAATGTGGCCTCGGGGAAGGGGTGGACGAGCAGCACCCCCACCCTACTCATCGCCCAATTTCGGTATCGTGGGCACCGCAGCAGCACCCCCAGCCCTGCCCAGCTCCACAACTTGATGGACAAATAGAAGGCCTGGCGTGGTGAAGCTGCCATGCTTGGCAAGAACAAGGTTCTCTTTCCCACAAGCCTTTGCGCCGTGCGAACTGGGCCCTTCACCCATTGGCTGGGCCCACCGAGTGGTACATCCCCAGGGGGCTTCCCAAGATACAGCTGGCATTTCCCTCACCCCCCGAGGAAGAATCTAGCATGGTCCACAGGAGCACCATCTCCAGCAGAGGCCAGTAGGAACTCCAGAAACGGGACAAGCGCATTCCCCTACCCATGCTCCCCAGCAACTGTGGTACAGACCCATGTGGCATTTGGTACTGGAGGTAGCCACCAGGAGGCACTGCCCCCAATCGCCAGCCCGCTCCAAGAAATTGCCTCACCCCCTTTTAAAGCCATCCAAGTTGGTGCTTGTGGGAGCAAAATCCACGATTCGGCCATCGCCTGCATGAAGACGTCCCTTTTCTACCGTGTTATCCATGATTCGGCTTCATGTATGAATATTATGGGAGAGGGAACAAGCCTCCTTCTCACAGCATGGAGAAAGTAGCTAAATCTGTAAACCTCAATAATATCCCCTCGCTTATGATATTTTCCCACAGAAAAAAAGCATTCTAAGTTTTCCTCATTGGGAAGTGTCCCGCTTCTTTGATAATTTATCTAAACCTTTCCCAGCTCTACAAGATCCCGTTTTAGGCACGGTGACCAGAACTGTACACAGCACCCCAGACCTCGTCACTCCTTCGGTTTGTATACAGGGATGAGAAGACTGGCATTTCTTTTCCATTCCTGTCCTAATATTTTAACTGTTAACTGCTGTTTTTATTTATTGGGTTTTTATAATTTCGCCGAGATGTATCCGAATTTTTAAAGTTTACTTAACATTTGTTTATTTGCCTTGTAAGCCGCCCTGAGGAGTGTTGCAAAGGGGGCGGCATAAAAATGCTTTAAAAAAATAAATAATGACCCGACTAGAAATTTGGGCCCTTTTCACAGCAGCCACAAACAAAATGGGCAGATCCAAGACCCAAATCCCTTTTCTGCTCAGCAGACGGCTCATCTCTCATCCCCACCTGCGTCAAGTTAGGATTATTCCGAACTAACTTGCCAGAGGCTACCTCCTCCCTTCCAAAAATTCAACTCCTCGTTTTCCTTCCTTGGCATTGCACAATTTTTAACTGGCCCGATAATGTAATTTTGGTTTGCTCGGCTGGTGTGTCCTGTTCTTCTCCAGGTACTCAGGTGCTTCCCTTCCATCTAACTGCTTTGAGAGGCACAAGGTCTTCCATATATGCCCAGTCGCCCCCTGAGATAGGCGGGAGAGGCCCTTCTCCGGGAGCCCTCCGTGAGAGAAATTAGGAGGGTGGTTACTCGGAGGAGGGCTTTCTCAGCGGTGGCGCCTAAGTTATGGAACGCGCTCCCCAGAGAGGTCCGCCTGGCGCCGTCGTTATTTGTTTTTCGGCGCCAGGCAAAGACCTTTTTATTTAAGCAACATTTTAAATGTTAATACTACTGAATTTTATCTGGCCAGGGCGGCTTATTTTATATTGTGTGCATATTGTATTTTAAATTATTATTACTATTTTATATGAATATTTTAATTTATGTGGTTTTATTTATTGTTGTAAGCCGCCCCGAGGCTTTGGCAAATGGAGCGGCATAAAAATGTTTTAATAAATAAATAAATAATAAAAGGCAGGATGGGTTCCCCAGTCACGGTAACTCGGCAACTCTACCTTCACGAAGTCATCCAGTTCTGATCACACACACAGCCTCTTTTTAAAGTGTGTATCCCGCCCCCCCCAGCTGCTCACTTTGTCCCAGACATCTTCCGTGGCATCTAGCGTGCTGCCAAAGTAGGGGTTCACAGCGGCATTGGATACCAAGATATCGATTCCTCCGTGGCGCTCCAGGGCCTACAGCGAAAGAGGACAGAAGAAAAAATAAACATCGGAAGAATTCTTTTCTGCTTGAAAAGCTGGCTCCGCTTGATGTTTTGGTTCCGCAGGATAGAAGATTTTCCAGCTGCTGCACTTCAACTCTGGTCTGGGAACAATCACAGGCAGGAGATGAACAACGGGTTTGGAAAAATCCCTCTGGATCTGGACTTGCATAGCAGAGAGACTTGCTTGGTCTCCTGCCTGCAATTTTGAAACCCAAGTTGGGTTTTGCAGAGGGCAGTAAGCCAGGGGTGAAATGCTCCTAAATTGAGGAGTGATGCTCGCATTTCCCGGTCCTGGGAACCAGAGGCCCGCTTTCTGGTCCTCTCTGTGGCCTGCCGCCTGCTCCACCATGTTGCGAAGGCAGCGCCAGAGTTCTATTATTATTATTATTGTTATTATTATTATTATTATTATTATTATTATTATTATTAAAACATTTCTATGTTCTAGAATTCAGGACCTGCCCTGCTTCTGTTCCAAGCAAAATTCCCCCCCCAAACATGTCCCTCGTCCCTGAACAGGGGCAAACAAGATCCAAACGGGACCTGCGTTCCCAAAGAGGCTGTCCATCCCTGGAAGCAGGGAGTGACGTCCTCTGAAACTGGAACCAAGGAGGATTCTGGGATCGTTGGCCACGAGCAAGTTCACTTGTGAGGGATGGCAGAAGACGCCCCCCCCTCCCCCCGTGATCACCCCAAGTCTTTTGCAAATTCCTCTTTCCATGAATTGCATGAAGTTCTCCTGTTTACCTTCCCCAAGTCTCAGGATCGGGCCTCTTCCATGAAGACTGCAAAGGGCTACCCGGAACCCCTGCCTGTCTCAGAGGATTCTGGGAAGTTTCCTGGAATGCCGACTGTGCATCCATATTGGGGTGCTGAACCTCTCGCAGCCCGAGGACTGAGCCCCACTTCTGAGGGCTGCATCTGCAGTGGGAAGAGCCAAAGGCAAAGGGGCAGGGCCAAACTACCTGCCTGTTGAAGCGGCTGCTCTCACAGCCCAGGTGTTTTGAGCTACAAACCCACCAAGCATTTGGTGGCTGGGGGGGGGGGGGGGGGGGGGGAAGGATGTGTAGCCATCTGGGTAACTCCCAAAGAGCTGTTTCACGCTGCTGAGCTTTCCCATCACCTTTCCCTTCTCAAGGCTGGACGTCTACTAAACACCCCCAGAACCGTAAGACAGGCAGTTCAAACCCACTAGTCAAAGTCCTCGCTCTGGCGCTCCTTAAGTGGACCAAAAAAACTATTTTATCTTCCATGATTGCAACTGAGATCCAGGGAGGCAAATGGTCAGAAAGGTTAGAACCAGGGACTCTGAGCCCAACCTACCTCACAGGGTTGTTGTGAAAGGAGAAAATGGAGGGGAGGAAGACCCAGTATGCCACCCTGGGTCCCTTGCAAGAAAAAAGCTGAGGTAGAAATGCAAAGAACCCAAAGGACACGGTCTCTCACCACATCAATGAGGCGCTGCCTGTCCTCAGCCTTCCCCACGTGGCAGACCAGCCCCGACACAGTGAGATTCTCCGCTTGGAGCTGGGCCACGGCGCGGTCCACGTTGGCTTGCTTTCGGCTGCTGATGACCACATGGGCTCCGTCCTGGGCCAGGCGCTTGGCGATGGCGAAGCCAATTCTAGCGAGAAGCAAGGAGAGGATTGTGCAAACGTGTGAGCAGACGGGGAGTCTCCTAGCCTGAGCCCTCCGAGCGAAATCCCATTTCAGGGCCGCTCTTGGCAGCCACGCTTCAGCGATAGGCGGGGCTGAAGGCAAAGGGGGTGGAGCCACAGACCCCCAAATGTCGGGACGTTTTAAACTTAAAGCTCTTTCTGACAGCCACTCAGTTTTAGAAGAGACACTCCCAACCTTTAGAATGGGAAACAAAATGGCGCCAAGACTGGGAAACCCACCAAGCAATCCGTGGCTGCGAGAAGTAGGCGGAGCCATGGGGTGTAGGCGGGGTCACAAAAGTGGGTGGAGCCAGCTGGGATGAAAACTGCTTAAATGGGCTTATTGCTCAACCAGCTTGCTGTGTTTTGGTCTCTCGGTCCGGCCTGCATTCAAATTTGCCACACCCGTGAAGGAGAGGAGGCTGTTGCAGGATCCAGCACGAATCCTTTTCGCTCAGGGCAGAGGTGAGGGGGCTGAGATGTGAGATAATTGCGAAATTGCGGAAGAAGTTGCACAGGGAACTGAAGCTGAGAAGATGCAAGAGCTTTATCCCAGCTGTTAGAAAAATTTCCCTTGTTCTGCCCATCAGGTGTTGTTTTCGAGAGCTGATGTCGCAGGCCTGCAGCACAATCCTATCCTTGTTTACTCAGGAGTAAGTCCTACTCTATCCCACAGGGCTTATGGCCAATGGAGGGTGCTATCCGAGGCCTCACAAATGCTGGGATTTGCATTCTGCTTAAGCCATTTCGGGTTGTCTAAGACGAAAGGCTTGTGACCGTCGGAAGTGCATGATAAAAACATTAAGCACGCTTATCCTTGAACATGCAAGGGATAAAATACACAAAGACTACGTTAAGGCATTTAATCGGATACTTCGGAGGGCTTTTGCCATCTGAATTCTCAGTTGCAACTCGCCAGGGCTCCAACAGAGGAACAAAAGGCCAACTCTGGAGCCAAGAAGCAAAGATCAGATTGAGGCGCTTCTTAAAATTTATCCCAAGGGCATGGCAGGAGGTGGGAATCGCCCCCAAACCTGCTTTTCCCACAATGCCGTCGCTCAGCTTCCGTATCCTGTGGCAGCTGCAGGAATGGCAAGAGTGCCCCTGGGAAAGTACAGAGCGCTCTTCCCCCACTGGCAGCCCGACCCCTAATTATCTTGGAGAGGCACTGGCTAAGCTGGCCACCCTGGCTGAGCCCGGCGAACGGGAGGGGACGGGGGCTCACCCCTCGGTGGAGGCCGTCACCAGGGCCACCTTGTTGGCCAGCGTCCCCCGCGCCTCGGCCCCGGAGCCGCTCATGCTGACGAGGCGGGTCGCTGCCTGCCTGGAGCTCGCGAAGCGGCCGGCCAGCGCTCGCCACATCCCGGCAGGCCCACTCCTGGCGCCTCCGCCGAACTTCGGCCGCGGTGTCCGGGGGCCCTGCAAGGCACAGATCAAGCAGTGGCGCTTGGCGCGTCGCTCGCCCCGCGCCCCCCGCTGCCCCTGCTCCGGAGGCCGTGCCCCCCAGGACTTTGCACCGCGAGAATGCCTGGCCTGGCATGGCATGGCATGGCGCTTGTCCCAACCCCACTCGCCTGCCTCTGCCCCCCC